AGCAGGACACAGTGAAGGAAGCAATCTGTCCCCAAATTAATTACTTCATTTTGCATTGGTGCTGTGGTGCTAAATGAATGAGATGCCCTCTCCTTCCCCACGTCCCTTCAGAAACCTTCTTCCTATTGTGTCAGACTTGTCATTGCAATCTCTCTTAATTGCAGGCTCCTTGGTAATTTCTCTGCCACAACATTTTCCTAAGAAGAACCACTGGTGAATACCCAGATGAAAAGAAATGCTCTGACAAGCTGGAGTTTTAATTTTTCTTTAGATTGCTTGTAGAAGAGGATCATTATTAGCAGATGATAATTAGGAAGCGGTAACACTTTAATTTGCTAGGATATATTGAAATTCATTAGCATCTGAAAGCTTGGCTGTGCTTTGTGGCCGATGGATTGGATATACCAGACTGGTTCCTAAGAGCAATGATAAATACCCTGACCAAACCACTGCCACCACTATTTCATCTGTGGATCTACCTGTCCTGTGTTTGTGTAGCCTGCCTTTACCAGGGAAACCAAAGATAGGGAAACTGAAATTCCTGAAGTGGGTTTTATCCCTCCCAATGTCTTGTCTAAGCTGATTATCTGAAGGGAGTTCTCCCTCCTTCAGTGGACAAGAACCTCCTTCTTCAGACAAGAACCTCTATCCAGAAGGTACTTCAGAGATATGTATCCACAGGACAAGGGATATTGGTTTTGAACTAAACCAGGGTGGATTTAGATTATATATTAGGAAAAAATTCTTCCCTGTGATGGTGGTGAAGCACTGGAACAGCCCAGAGAAGTTGTGGCTGTCCCATCCCTGGAAGTGTTCAAGGCCAGGTTGGATGGGGCTTGGAGCAACCTGGTCTAGTGGAAGGTGTCCCTGTCCATGGCAGGGGGATTAGACCTAGATGATCTTTCAGATCCCTTCCAACCCAAACCATTCTCTGATTCTATGAAATTATCCACTGTGAACTCATGGGATGTGAGGTGGGAACTGGAAGAAGCAATCAAAAGTCTGGGGAAAAGGCTGCTGCTGAGAAAGTGGAGACCTGCTCTGAACAGTGTTTGCTATAGTTGGGACCTCAATCTTCAGGCTATCATCTCCAGAAGGAGACCAGCACTCCCAGAACATAGTTCATCCCACCTTGAACACTGGCATAGAGCGAACCACCTTCAGGATACTAATTTCTTTCCACTGAGAAGAGAATCAAAAAATCTACCTAGATCAGATGCTTGTCTGATCCAAGAGGCAAAAGGTAGATGTTGACATCTCAGGACTGATTCTCCAGTCTTTATGAATAGCTGGTTTTTATCTGGCAGGACAGTATTCCCTCAGTGTTTTTCAGCAAGCTGCAAATATCAGCTAATTAAAACATCATAGCAGTGGAGGCAAGAACTTGATTCCTTATAATTTTGAAAAACCACAAAGATGTCCTTAAAGTACTGAAATCCTACTTTGCATGAAGAAATTCTGTTCTGAGAAAAAAATAGCTTTAGCCTTAAAAAGCAGGGCAGTGATTCTTGAAGAACGGATCTTTCTAAGCCCTTCCCTGGCTAGAGCTACAGAATAATTTTTCTAATTTCCTCTGACCTCACTTATGAGTGTTTATTTACCTTCCAAGACAGGGAAGCAGAGGGTCACCTGAGAACTACTGGTTACTTATATAATAAATAATTTTTATTCTGAACTATTCTGAAATACAATCACATGATGGAAAAGTATTTGCTGTATTTTTCTGCTAGGATGAACCTCCATGAAAGTATAAACAAGGCTGACATTACATTGTCAGCATGAGTTTTTGCTGTTAATAATTTATTGAGGTGAATGGGGAGTGAGTCACACCTGCCACAGACATTGCCTTAGCAGAATTTGGAAACTCAGGCTAGAACCAGATCAGGGAACACTGTTTAGGAATTTTCCATTGGGAGTGCGAGCTTCCTGGATTACTATTTTCTTGTTGCCGTTTTGTTTCGTGTCATTTCCTCTTTCACCCTCAATTTACTTCTGTTTTGTGAAATTTTGGAGCTGTGAGGAATGAATGCATGAATTTTACTGTTATATGATTGAGGTGGAAGAATGGCCTCCTGTGAGCTTCAACTGCCAACAAGAAGGATTTCAATGCTGAAAGCTTTGAACTCCAGAGCTCTGTTTGCTATAGCAAAGCAGAAACATCAGTCATCTAAACCTTGCAACATCCACCCATGGAGGGAAATGAATAATATTCTTCTTATCTTGTACAAGAAAGAACAGAGGTACAACAAAACTTTTTTTTTTCACTGGCTGAACTTCAAAGTGGTACAGAAAATTGGATTACAGATTTCTGGATTCCCTGATCTAATGACACATCTGCTGAACTGCCTGAATCTCTCTGACCAAGTCATTACATTTTCTTTTCAGTCAGTCTTCTCATTTCTGCAAGACAATTTCTAGACTGCAACCTGAACACAGGTAGCTGTTCCCTTTTTATACCTGTGCTTTTGGAAATACTCTAGCCCAATATAATGCTCAACTCATGGGATTCTGGAAGTGCTTGGAAATCATGCTGAGCTCTGAATATTTACGAGGGTAGCAGTTTGGCTTTTGTTGCTTTTTGGCAAAAATAATTGGTCTCCCAAGCTATATTTTTCTGCATCCTGCCAGGAAACAACTAGTCAACATGCAACAAAAAAAGTCACAACTAGACCTGACAAAAAAGGTCACTAAATCAGCCTGGATTTCTTGGATGTCATATCTGTCATGAAAAATAACTTCCTGAGAATCACAAAATGGTTTGGATTTGAAAGAACCTTGAAGATCATCTCATTCCAGCCCCCTGCCATGGGCAGGGACACCTTCTGCTAGACCAGGTTGCTCAGAGCCCCATCCAACCTGACCTTGAACAGCTTCCAGGGATGGGACAGCCACAACTTCTCTGGGCTATTCAGTGCCTCATCACCCTCACAGGAATTTCTTCCTTATATCTAATCTAAGCCTGCCTTCTTTCAGTTTGAAGCCATTACCCTTTGTCCTATCACTCCATGCCGTTGTCAAAAGTCCCTTCTCAGCTCTCTTGGAGTGTCTTAGGTACTGAAAGGTGCACTAACGTCTTCCCAGAGCCTTCTTTCCTCCAGGCTGAACAACCCAAACTCTATCAGCCTGTGTCCATAGAAGTGTCTAGTCAAGAAGACAAACATCTCAGCTGACTTCTTGTCTGCTTTTAGTGAAATAACTAATCCTAGATGCCCAGGTTTTGCTAAGGGATTGCTTTAGAAAGAGGTTGGGATAGGCTTGGACATCGTTTGTGGTGAAGAAGATGGGAACTACCATTTCCTGATGCAAGGAAAAAGAAAACCTGAAGCACATTGATGTCAAAGCCAAGAACCTGTAAATAACTCCTTGCAATCCAAACATCTGGGCTAGAAGATGTAAAGGTAAGAGGTAAAAATGCCACATTTCAAAAATCATTCCTGCATGGGTGTCCTTCTTGGCCCTCTTCACACTGTCAAAAGTGTGTATACCAACATTACCTTCCACCTCATCTCTATATCTATATATTTTTTCTCTGAGGAGCTGTGGACAGCTGGGAGGAGCGACATCTCCATCTGCAGAGCTTGTTACCTTGAGACTGCCAGACTGAAGTCTTGGCTACACACAGGCCTGCATATGTTTGGCTAAACCTGTTTTGAACAATTTAGTTCACAGTCATGAAGGCTGTGTGATGTTTTTATTCTGATGTGACTGTGCTTTTATCACATTTCAGTATGTTGGAACCAGGTGAAGTTATGCTGAATTAGACCATACCCATATCAAAATTAGTATCCACTCTTTATAGGATTTAAGATTAATGCCATGATATGTAATGTCAATGTATAAACCTCAATTTGATATCTCTGAGCTGTATGTTCACTTTGCTGCCATCTTATATATATGTAGCAAAGCTTATAGAGCTTTTTTTTTAAAAAAAAGTCTTAGTGAACTGAACATTAGTGAATCCAGCCCAGGTTGGGATGGATCAAGCACTATTGGTAAGGAGAAATAGTGGCTAAATGAGTATAAAAGTGATGAGTGAATTTATTCTGTTGCCCTTTGGACATATGCCCATGACTATACCCCTCTGATTTGGCATTCCTCCCAGCCACCTCAATATGAAGAACCAGGATAGGACTGGCTGAAGGTGAGACAAACTCATTTCCAGAAGCAAGTCCTTATCAGGTGGAGAAGGCTTGCAAAAACTGAGAACATTTTCTGAACTGGAGAGGAGAACAGTCTCCAGTATGACTAAGCAAGTTCGTTTCAAAAAGACCCCTTTAAAAAAGCCAGAAAAGAAGCAGCCTCACCCCTGGGATTTGTAAGTGTGGCATCAGTGCCCTTGCCTCCATCTCCACAGCGGGTATCATCAAACGGGAGGCACTGATCCCCAGTTCCAGCCAGGACCTCTGAATTCTTCACAATGTCTTTCACTGATGTGGTTGACTTGATTTTATAGATACGCCGGCTGTTGGTGTCGGAGAGGTAGATGGAGCCAGTGATTGGATCTGTGGTCAAGTAATACTTATGAGCTGGGCTGTGGCTGAAAAACAAGGGTATGACATTATTAATTGTTTGAATGATTTGTTGCCTTAAGTCAACAGGCAATGCAAACACTTTAGAGAATAAAAACGCACAGGGCAGAAAGACTGGGAAAGGAAGTGAAGGAGTGCTGTGTTGGACAATGCTAGCACACTGTGTGTTACAGCACAGGATTCTGAGCTGTATCCATTAACAATTGATGTGCCTAGGGTGCTTTCTGGCATGGAGGGAAGCAAACAAAGGAAAGGACTCTGGTCTGAGCCAAAATCATGCCAGAAACTACTACAGGTTGAGTCTCAGTGCCTGTGTTTGCTTAATTTACTTATCACAGACATAGTCCTGAAACCAGTGTTAGTGCAGTGCCAGGAAGTGAAGGGAAAGCACAATACACCAGAGAAAGAAAACAAAGCAAAAAGATAAATAAAATATGCCCTCCCAACAAAGACTCCAATACAAACCCCAAAGGCAGACTCCCTGTATAATGCACTTGAAGATACACTCTGCAAGATCACTGCATCAAGGCTTATCTGGTGGTCTTGCTGACTCCAGCAAATACTCCTGCCCTGCCCTTGGGAAGATTAAGGGAATTCTGCCACTGAATTCAGCTGGACCTCGAAGATGAGAGAAACAAAATAATTTCCTGAATGGCACATTTTGCCCCAAGTAAAGCATCCGGCTGAGGAACCCACGCATCAGTGCCCTGTTAAACTCCATTCACTCACTGCTTCCTTGGACACAAGAAAGGGTGGCTGAGAAAATGGCATGAGCAGACAGAATGGTAATGTCTTTAGCTCAAAGACTGCAACACTGAATGAGCCCAGGACTGGTGAAATCAATAAACTAAAATCCACTTTATGGAAAGCATCCGATGGGACTGGCCCAAAAAACCCCAACCAGATGATTTTAGACACAATTTAAACAACAGTTTTACAAGGATTTTACCTATGGTTTAATTGAAGTTATTTTACAAGGATTTTACCTATGGTTTAATATAGACATTGAAGTTACGAACGTCTTCTTTTTTAAAATTAAGTGTTTACTACTTGTGTGTATTGAACGACATCTCTTCTAAGCCTGAAACCAACATTTTAAACTAGTAACACATGCTGACATAACACAGGTCTCTTTCCTTCTAAGAAAGGCTGGGTAGTAATTAGAACAAGTATGAAAAAGTGTCTACTTTTCTCCAGAACATCTTCAAGCTGTCCAAACTCATCAGGTCCCAAGAATCCGTAATAAAAATCTAAGCCATAGTTCACAATGTTGCACTTAGTGGAATTGTTCCAGGAGAAGCTATTCCTCATAATAAGAAAATTCCTCTCTCTTTCAACCTTTATATTAGGAAAATTAACCCCTCTTCAGACACATAAAAACTACTGAGTTCTTCTCTGCTTAAAAAAAGCCATAAGTTGGTTCTTCATTCAAATTACTTTATACTTCGGAGGGAAAAAAAGCACCCTTCTGATTTATTCTGGAATATCCCTTGTGATTTATCCTATTAAAGTCTGAACAGATTTCATCTCCACAAATGACACTGATTCTTGCTAAATAAAATGCTCTGACCTTCAAGACAGCTCAGCCTGACAGTTCAGTCTCCATCTGTATTCCTTCCCAATGACAGCAGGCTGGGAGGGTTTTATTTCATTTACCTGCATGTCACTCACACTAAGCAAGTGGCTTCAACCCTGGTGGTAGAAGTTCCTCGTGGGAATCCATCATCTATTTTGATCAGGGCCTTGCATTTTCTGCTGACTGCCCTAACAAAGCTCAGCTGAATGTCAGTCAGCTTTTGAGCTGTTCATAATCTCTGTTTTGCATGAGAGGTGGACAAGAGTAGGACATTTTTAATAACACTTTGCAATCCTTTAGCATCTTTGCCTGGCAAGCACAGATAACTTTCTCTGAGCAGGCTATCTGCAGTTGAGCAAAGGCCAAAGATGGTGAAAAATGGGGGCAGAACTGGAAGTTCCTGCTCCCCTCTCCCAGCACTATGATTGCAATTTACTTTTGGATTTCACAGCCTCACTCTGGTGGATTTTGTTGTCAATTACAATCTTCTGTAAAAAAGAGAGATCTTAAAATTGTTTTCTATTCCCAGCTCCTGTGTAGAATAGACACTGAAACAACTGAAACCAGGTAAAACCAGAACATTTATCCAGCAGAAAGGCTGAATGGGACTTCCCACCTCCATTTTACTTCCTCCTAAGTGGAAAAGCTGTCACTTCTATCCTTGGAAGTGTTCAAGGCCTGATTGGATGAGGCTTTGAGCGACCTGGTCTAGTGGGTGGCACCTCTGCTGCTGATGATCTTGTAGGTTCCTTCCAACCCAAGCCTTTCTATGATTCTATGATATTAAGTTAATACTTTGGGTAGCTGTTGGTAACCCAAGTTTAGTTTTGTTAATGAGGTCCTGAGTATAGATGCTGCAAAAAAGTAGGGGTGAGTTCAAAGCTTACAATCATTAAAAATTAGCTCTAACAGCTTAAACTCATAATCTGCTGCACAGCTGGATGCCAGAAAGACTCAAAACCCTTAACTAGCTTGTGTGCTTTGGAAGAGGGAGAGGTAGAATGTCATGTTGATTAACCTACCCAGGGGACAGTAATAAACTTGGGTCACTTAAAATCTTGGGTCATTTGGGCGTGTATTTCATCAGGTGAGCTCATAGTGAAACTCCTACAAAATTCAGTTACCTTTTAAACCTGATGTTATTAATGGTAAAAGCACCCCCAACACAAACTGTATCTTTTTAGGGCATGGCTCTGTGAGAGCAATAGGAAGTGCTGCTCATTTTTACTGACTGGACTCCTTATTTTTGCAAGTATGGCTTATCATGGTCTACTACGTCCTGCTCTGTGCATAGGTTTTTTGTGAGCGGAAGGCCCCTTGGCCATTGCCAGGCTTAGGCAATTGAGATTTTAACCTGGGATGCTCTAGAGCAGATAAGGTAAAACACAAACTATTAAAAATGGTCAATCTGGAATTTACTCCCCTGGCCTCTGCAAACAGTTTTCAATGCTGTATGGAGAAGGTGTCACACACTGTCATTGCACAAATTGCACAGTTTTAGACACTGGAGCTTTTCTTTATCACTTTGAGATCCTTGATGCTAAATAGACATATGTTAGTCATGTAGAAGTTCCCAAACTTCTTCCTTTCACCTGTGATAATGCAGAGCACTGGAGCCAGGAAAACTGAGACTTAGCTTTTTATTTAAAGCCACAATCAATAGGCAAACCCAAGTGGTAAATTGGACTGAACTGAACAACAACTGAAATAAACCTGCCTGGGGCAAAGCAGAGAAGATTTTTGTTCCCCTTTCATCCTCTCTCATTGCTCACTAGATAACAGCCCAAAACCAAAGGCAGGACATTTTATTATTCAGAAGACTTAATCAGTTACACTATTTGCAGTCTTAGAATATTTATCCCCCATAGTGACACTGCCACTAGAAAGGGGCTGTGGAGGAAGAACTGATTTCCTATTCAGAGTGTTCCTTTAGCTATTACAGTTTTTTAGAAGAAACTCTGAGCATTACATTGATATTTTAAGCCCCCTGAAGCAACAACCCAAAGTTGCAGGGATGGGGTGGGCTGGTCCCTAGCCAGGAACAGACACTTTGATGGGTATTAGCGGGCATGATAGTGTAGTTACTGGGGATGAGGACAGTTTCATAGTAGAAGTTCTGCAGGCCAAAGTGAAATGGAGGTGATACTGCTTCCTTATGTGCTTGTGATTCAATGACATGCTGAGAAAGCACAGGAAAATCTTCCAAGTCCATAGTGATTCCAGTTGTTTGGGATTGCATACAGGCTCTCCTATACATCTGTCTTGCCCCCTTCCTATTTTCTTTCTCATTGTTTGGACAAGATAATGCCAGTACCATTTGGGCAGCTCTGCAGATATGTTAAGAGATTCAAACTCCATTTTAAAGTGCTTGTGATTTACATGACTCCTTACACACAGGTGTGGGAAAGGAAAGGGATAAAATTCTGGGTGAACAGGCAAAGATGTGACACTCATGGATTCCTCCGTTGTACTATGACAGATGCACAGGCTTTGAGCATAGGCTGATATAATCCCTCTGGGCCCAGAGCCAATGTTTTGGAGGAGTCTGAGGGAGGTGCCTCCTGCTCCAGAGTGGGAAGCCAGTCTTTAAGGAATAGAGATGAGAAAAGGGACATGGTTTCTGGTTTTAACACATTCCCTACAATACATCAGGACAGCAGACCGCACCATTTTATTGGCTTCTGTGTAATGCCAGGGGATTCATATCACCAAGTTTTACATGGCTGCTGGGTAGATGCTCACATGGGAGCTGGCTGCCTTAACTCCCCTTACAGGCAGTGGAGAGAAATATCTTATGGGGTATAACTTGTCTGACTTATTTTCAACATTTATCTTCTAAGACGAACTGCATCTTAGTTCCTCAAACGTAAGGGCATCTACCACCTCCTCAAAGGACAACTTCTTTTATTGGTAACTGTACAGCTCTGGCTCCCACTGTGGTCAAAAGACAGGAGCAGTCACACCACCAAAATTAGTTACCTATAACGACTGATCTGAATAAACCCCTGGGGCTTCTTTGGATCTGATGTCTCTCTTGAAGGACATGAAACCACCTCTGTAAAACTTTCTGTGCCAGCTGCCTGCTTCCCCCCTGAGCCTTGCTAGACACAGGCATTTGCTGGTGACTAAAGAACTACTAAATTCCTGCAGCCAAGCATTTTTGTTCAGCAAGGCTGTGTTTCTATGGGTCTGTGCTAAGCGCCCTGCAGCACAAAACCAGAGGATTTTATTGTAGCTTGTGTGAGGTACTGGTCTTTCTTTTCCCTGGGTGACATTCAATAGATTAATATATAAGGAGGCCATGCACTGCAGTGAGCTGAATTTACACTTGGCCTTTTAGTGTTTGCAGTTTGTGTGTGATGCCCAAAGCTCTTCTAGTGTCACGGGCTGGATAATAAAACTTTATAATAATGCCAAAAGCCAAGCCACAAACTGCAAAGGACTTTTGATTCGATCCTAGGGCAGTTTTCTGACATACCTCTCTTTGCCACTAACTGTAGATTTGTTTTTCTAAGGTGTGAATAGAAACAAGAAAGGAAAAATAGATTTAAGTGTGGCCATTTTTTCGTATTTGCAAGACGGAAATGCCTCACCACCCTCCATGTTCCTGCAGAGAAAAGATAATGAAAATTGACTGCAAATGATTATTGCCATGCTTGGAAAAAGTCATTAGCTTCTATAAGCCCATCAGGCCCTTACATAGACATACCAGAATAAGTTCCTATCAATCTGTTATTGAATGACAGATGGGGCTAAACTTCAAATCATGATTTGCTTCTTGGCCTAGCTAACACCCCCCATTTAGGCTGTTGCAGTGTTACACCTTGGCTACCTACACTGTACTGTAGAACCAAGCCTCGTAGTGGGTAGCTTCAGAACCACTGGAGATCGAGCTTACCAAAGGCTACATACTGAGGAGGAATTCTTTCCCCTGAATTGAGGAAGCTTTTACATATGGATTGCAGCTTTTTCAAACCACGAATATTCAGTCCTGTGGATCTCACCCTTTGCATTGCTGCCTGTCACTGTTATCAAGTTTAGGACCTTCTGGAGCTCAAAGCACTCAAAGCTGAGACTACACCCACTCATTTCCCTGTGACTCAGGAACATAGAGGCTTCCCAACAAAAAGCATTATGGCAAATGACACAGAACAGACACTAACTCAGATGGGTGACTCCCTTAATGAGGTCAAAGACTGGAGTATTTGATCTGGAGCTCCTCACCTCCTTCCTCCCTCCCTGCTGCCCTTTGGGCTACACTGGAGCAGGCATATCTTGTCTTTCTTTCACTTAATTTCTTAGTTTTTAGGAACTGCCTAAAGGCTGAAGCCCTGCCAGCTTTGTAATGCTTTGGTAACATCTGCAGCATTTGTGGTCTGTCCATATATCTTCCTCAGTTATCACCTTCATATATAAAACCTCTTCTCGTAACACGCATTCAGCTGCTGCCCTTCAGTGTCAAAGCAGGTGCACTGTAGTGACTGTGTGTTTCTCAGGCATTAAGGATACAACCTGGCTGTTCCAAAGAGAAATTAGTTTTTCTACTGCCTTCAAATGATGTGAAAGATGAGCTGAGGGGCTTGAACTCAGCCTAAGGGGGACAGTCAGTGCAAAGGGCTTGGGTACCAATCTCCCAGCCCTGCTAATGAATGCTTTGGGCCAGTGCATTATGCTGTGAAGCTCAGACCTTCATTGTTATTCTGGCAATAAGACAAAAAACCAGTTTCTACTCCATTTCATTTCCAGGCATGCAGATAAAAGGAACATTTATGGTTTTGCATAGTCTCTATGAAGCCAAGGAAACAGTAAATAAAAAGCATGTAGCAATAAAAAACCCCAATCCCAAATGCAAGAGAAAGCTAAACACACACACACAAAAAAAACCTCAACCCAACTCTACAGTCTAAGATTCTAATTTATAAAATCAACCAGGGAGAAGGATGGGAAACTTGTCAGAGTCAGAGAAGTCCTTGCAAACACACACAGTGACAGGAAGTTGACATCTTCTGGAATGTAACTGATTGGATCAAACTCACTGAAACTCCAGTGAACCCAAGTGACAAATATTCTTAGTGACAAAGCTCCAATTTAGGAGTCTCTCTTTCATCTTGTTATCTTGTCATTACTCTTCTTTACTGCATTTCCTGGCTAAGGTTCTGAGTTGCACTACCTCCTATCTGAGCCCGACAGACTTTCACGTGCCAAAGCTCTCTATGAATTGCCCAGACTGAAAAAAGTTACAAAACCTTACTTCCCTGAATGAGTGATGCTGGGGGACATTTGGCCCTTCTTTATGCCTGTTAAACCCCCCAAACTCAAAAGGAAGGCATTTCACTGTATGAGAATTATTTTTCCATCTTAGCTATTTCAGTGATCTGTATCCTGATGCTGTTCCCATTCTACTTTCTCAGTTAATTCCCACCCATTTTTCCCTCCCCCTCCTCCTCTTGTTAACCTGTTTCTTCTGCCTGTACTTCCCCTGTCTCCAGCTATAACAGCTCATGCAGAAGCTTGCACGGCTCAGCATTGTGATTAATGGCTCCCAGTTCTGATGACTGATTGCCTATGCCAGTTTTAATCATGCCAGCTTCATTTGCTATTGAATCATCTGGAAATGGCACTTGTGGCTCACTGTGTAACAACATGCAACAAGACAGGGAAGCGGCATAAGAATTCTCCACTGGTTGGCTTACCTATGTCTGAAATCTTTATTTCTGACAGAAGACAGGAAAGCAGGGAATAGAAGAAAGAATGAGGTGTTAGCAGCTCCATTCGATGCATTATTAGCAGATTGAAAACTTGACAGTAACTGTATCATACAATGCAATAATAAATAAAGACTTAGCTGGAATGACACTGATGTATTTTATATTGGATATTACTTGACAGTGAGCTCACTTATGTACTGCTGCATATGACAAAGAAAGTGTGATCTCACCTGCTTGAAGTTATTCACTTACGCAAGAGATAGGACCAGGCAGATTTTATCATTCAGCACAGTGCTGAGCTAAATAGATGTAGATGCAGATATCTTTACATTTTTTTCCACTCTCAGTCAAAGGAACACCTTGTGATTTACAAAGGTAACTTAACAGCTGCACAGTTACGGGTGGCAGTTCATTGCCATAACCTCATGAACTCCAACCCAGAGGACTGAAATTATGCCGAGCTGGTCATTTTTCATGGGTCTAGTTACATATCCAACTGCAGCTGTGACCCACAATACATTTGCTTTCCAGAACACTACACTCAAAAGCCACCCCTCCAAACAAACCTCAGAGCCAAATAGTGAGGGTGTTAATCTCCAAGGAGATGCTGATTTGAGAAGACACAAGCAAACTCCATTTAGTCCAAAAGCAATGGCTTTTCTCCACAGCTTTCAGCCAGCCGACATCTGAACCCACTTACTTTATAGCACACCAGAGTGAAGAAATGTTTATTAGATCCAGTAACCTAAGTGTTTGCACAGATGAAGCAGCAATCGTTCCAGCAGATTTAACTCTGGAGTAAATTTAACTGTGTGGCTCTACACAGCAGCCAGCAAGGCCACTCTGTCAAGGCTTCCAATTTTCTCTTTTCCAATGAGGAAAAACTGTGCAAAACCTCTGCTGGGTCTGGTATTTCCACTGACAATGAAACAGGGATTGGGTTTTCAAAACTGTACTTCTGGGAATGAGATATTAATCCCACTCAGTTGCAATGGGATTCGGGCTCACCTAGGCTCTTCTGGAAATCTCACCTTTGGTTGTTAAAATAACTTTCTGGCACTGGAAGAATATTACATTCTTTAACGAGGACCAGGTCTGAAGGTTTATCCCAGCTTCCCACCTCACAGACATGAGAGATATTATGTTCTCATGTATCAAGAAACAGAATAGCAAGAATGAGGTTCTTGCTTGTTTATTTGAAAGGTACCCCAGCCCTGTGAGGTGTGCATACCAAGGCAGCTATTCTGTAAGGGCCAGCCTTGTGGTGGCTGTCTGGATATTTTTTTCCATACACCATCATCTACAACGATGGTTCTGTGTGCCAAATAAGACCTTCAGCAAGGTCTAATGATTATGGCATGTTTGTAAATGAGGGACTAATGGGGTTTTGCACCAATTTTGCTGCAGTCTTTGGAGAAGCACAGTCTTATGTTTGTCCTCAGTAGATGGGATATTAAATCTCAGTAGAGGAGGGAGGGCCTTGCTTTCTGGAAGATTCTCACTTTCAGGCCAGATCTTGAAAGGTAAATAGGAATGTTGAACCTTCCTACCATGCTGACCTCATACTGGCTTCTCAGGACCTGAGTTCAGGCTCTTCAAGCAGAGGAGACTCATTCAGAAACATTCCTTTAACTCTACCTGACTTTTCTGGACTTGCATGGTCACACGGAGTCCAGAATCAGTCCCTGTTGCTTTGAAGTGGATAATTGTATTTGCTGTGGAAATTTTAGATAGGAAAAATATCCCCACTGAGTTCAATTTGAAATTTGGTTCAGCCACAATCCATTTAATTTTCTCAGAACTTGTGACAAATCCGTACTTTCCCCCTCTGCTTCCTTGTTTTTAATGGATGTTTATCCCTTATCCTCCCTATTGCGTAGATTTCCTTTTCCTTGTTTTTTGGGGTTTAAAGCAAACCCTTCCCCCTCCATCTATATGTTCACCCTGACACTGCTGTTCAGTTGGGAACTGAAGGGGGCTTATACATTTGTCCCTCAAAAACCAAATAGAAAACCCCAGTCTGTGACTGCCTAGAGGGATCATTCTGCCTTAATTATGAATGATTAACAGTCCTGATTAACCTCTACATATCATCATCAGTGCTGTGTCCTTCCAAGTTTAGGCTATCTCAGAGGCTGCTTGTTAATTTTCAGAATTCCCACTGGTTTCTGACTGAAACTTCTGCCTTTTCTGAAAAGGCAGACATCAGCACAGCTTGATTTAGCAGCACAGAAATGTGTCAATATTTTTGGCATGTGATTCAATTCTGGAAGAACTTGTTAGGCCTGTGTTTCTCTGGTGTAAATCAAAGTCAGCAGAGTTGCAGAAGAGGCAAATCCAGACAGCTTTTTCCCAGTTTTGCTGTGTTCTTTATTTGTTTTTAAGAGTTTAGCTCATTTTTCTTTTGGGTACACAGGATTTCTGCACAACTTAAGGAGTATAGTTCTAACAGCCACATTCAGCACAGTGTACCTCAGCTCCAGTATGTTGGTGACATTGCCAGAGGGAAAGATCCTTCGGATGTAGTTGAAATCTCCAACATAAAGACTTCCATCAGACCCACATGTTAGGGCAACAGGAGCCAGGAGTTTGTTCCCATCTGCCAGACCATTGCAGCTTGGACAAGAGATACTACGTCTACGGCCATTGCCCATAATGCTTCCAATTACAGGTGGCTGCTGGGAAATGAACTGGTTTTCCCCATTTCCTTTGTGCAAGATGCCTAGGGAGAGAAAACAGTAATAAACAAAATAAGAGACATGGGGAAACTAAGACTAAAGGGGGTACAAACTGGCAATGCTGGATGCCTGCTGGGGAATTTGTCAAGTGGCAAGGAGGTTTACCCTCTTTCATAGTATTGTTTTGAGATAGTTTCAAATGAGGGACTCCTTATCTGAATAAAGTATATTTTATAGACCAGCTACATTTCCTGCAGAAGAAAAGTATGTGTGGAGAACAAGACTGTCTTTACCTTTGAAGGAAATACACTTTTCAGCATCTCATGAACTTTGACCTGCCCCTTCTGTCCCTCCCTGCCCTGTAATTTGAAGTCTACTGGGTAAAAAAAGAAATTACATAGCTCATGGAGAGGTAAGTAACAGAAAGACCATGAGACATTTTCTAAAGAAATGTTTCATCTGCAAAGTTTCAGAGGAACTCTGCTTACGTTCTCTGTAAGTGTAGTGCTCTCTGCAATGATGTGGGCTGATTTAGATGTTTGCTCCCATACCATTGCTATCATCCAGAAGGACACAGTGCTTCCACCTTTGAATGTGTGCTGATCAGCTTTTAAGCCTCCCTGCTGCAAGTCCTGAGCAGCCTTCAAGGACTCTGGAACCTTCCATTCTCCCTTAGGACCCATGAAGCCTCTCGCTCTGCAAGTACACTTGCACACTGGAGGACATGTCTGAGTGGATTTATGTTCAGTGGCAGGTCCAATTTGAACAGGTTCCCCTTTGTTATTTTAGGAATATTTTCCTTGTTAATATCCTTCTTTTATGGCACTACAAAGTCAGACAGGCCAACATTCAACTACTTCAAGATGGCCAGCTTATTTCGCATTTTGCACACCAAATTGCACCTAAATGTAGGTTACTAGAAACAATTCATTAGAAAAATACATGAGAGAGCACATCTTGGTCAGATATCTTTCTTTTTCTTAAATTCTTAGTGATAAGAAGCAATTGTGCCTTAAAATGCTGCATTATTCCTGTTACATGCCACAGACAACCTACCACTTTGTATGTTGAGGGCATGGTGTTTGTCCAAGGACCATCCTCCAAGTTTGGAAGCATCAATTTCATAACCCTGAAGCACAGCTGTCCTCTTCTCCCACAGGATCAAGTCTGGACAGGATTCATACTCATAACCTACTGAAACTGTGAACAAGAGGAAAACAAAAGACCACCTGGATTAGTAACCCAGAAGTGCAGTGTCAGCACACAGAGAGTCTCAACTGAGTGCGAGCAAGAGCATTTCTCCAGGCAATTGTTAATTTCATTTAAAAATATTATCATCATAACACACAGCCCTAATAATTTTCTCTTAAAATTCCATTCTGCATTTAAAAAGGTGAATGCAGTTGTAGATGTTGGACTGATGTCCTAAAAATTTAAAAGGCACTGTTTAAAAGACATATTTTAAACCAACGGATACTAGGATTTGGACTTGATGATCTTTGTGGGTCCCCAACTCAGGATATTTTATGATTTGAGAATGTAAACCACTGGTGGACTCCCAAATGGGAGAATTTTATTTCTTCTACTTTCTTTGATCAAAGACTGTGTGTCAGGAACTTGCTAAAAATCATGATCTTTATTGGAAAGTAAAGACTTGCACAGCTGATGCAAGAGGCAGCAAGTCCCTCAGAGGCAGCAGTCTCAGACCAGGTTGATTTGTGGTCATTGTTAGTATCAAAAGTTTGCTTGCTGTGATGTCCAATCAGAGCCTTTCAGGAGTAACTCCAGTGAACACACTGGAGTTGGTTAAGAGTAAAATTATGTCAGTGGAAGGAAAATAATGTTTTTGACAGAATAATGACTCCGTTGTGATTTTCTCAGAAGCAGAACCATTGTTATTTGTCTGGTTTTCTTCTTCTAGTCTTTACAGCTGAAGCAGAGCAGAACTACAAGTTCCACACAAATGAAAAGTAATTACATAAATTTTATTTTTTTTTTGTAACTGGGTAGAAACAGATGTCTGATCTTATAAGTTTCCCAGCCTCTTTGAAAACTGATGAGCACTGAGTGAACTCAGGATTCTCCATCAAACATAGCCTTTTGCAGACTCGGACAGTGTCAGAGGAAGGTGTAAGTTAGGAAATGAAGGCTAGATATTTTCCACTGTTCTAGAGGTGGGAATCATTGGAAGCCTGAGTGCTGATGTTCTCAGACCTGCTTGAGTACTCTGGGACTGCAGAGCTGCTTCATGAAGCACTCCAGGATGCACTGCTGATCTAGCATCTTAAAGAGCCCATAAGCATAGTCTTTCAGGATATGCTATCAGAACACATTTCTCAGTGTGGACTCCAAGCTGGATAAGTTTCAGCAATTTGTATCATCCTGCATGCTGAAGGCAGATGAGATTGAGTGAGAGGAGGAAGGCACCCATTCTTCCTTCTGGAAAACAAGGCATCCTACAGATCCTCTAAAGAGACTTATCTTGAGCTGGACTATGAGGCATAAGTGAACCATTCTTCTGTCACCAAGAGCTGTATTTGCTAATTAGGTATCTCTCCCATTTTGCTGATATAATTTCCTGGCAGTCTGAAAGATCTGGTCTAGACTCTGTTGAAGACCTGTAACTGAATGTCCTCTGGGTGTTGATGAGATTGGAAGCAATCACTGCAGAGCCACATTACCACTGCTCACTAAACACCCAAAGTACCCCCTTTCCCTCCTGCACCATTGCACAGGGCTCACTGAGGGAGTTCTGAGAAGGCAGCAGGAAGAAGAAAGAAATTTGTCTCTGCACTGTTACCTGTCCTACCAGGGACTTCAGCTTCTGCCCCTGAAGAGCAGGTGACATGCGTCACCATGCTTGCTGCAAGGAATGTGGCCCACTGAACATGTAGAGTGTTTCTATTCTCTGCATTGCAGTTTCCAATAGTCTTTGGCAGATGTAACTGAATGCACAAGATACAGAAGAGAAGACCATCATGCCCCAGTTTGGGATGATGTTCTTGAATGGGTAAGGAAGGGGAAACTAAGATTAGAGCAATCCTAAAGGTCAGGCACAAGGAAGAGTGGAGATCAGGGCTCGGTTCTAGGGATTCTTTACAAAGCAGTGCTGACAGTTTTTGGCTATAGCTGAGAGGCAGTCAAATGCCTCTACTCCCAGTTCATTCCTTCTGTATGAATATGATGGTAGCAGCTCAGGATGTAGGTGTGAGACCATGAGCCAGAGAACAGATAAGTATTCATATACTGTCTTTGAAAGTGTTCAAGGCCAGGTTGGATGGGGCCCTGGGTGACCTGATCTAACGGGTGGCACCCCTGCCCAAGGCAGAGGGTTTGGAACTAGATGACCTTTAAGGTCTCTTTCAACCCAAACCATTTTGTGATTCACTTGTTGAAGAATGTGTGCTGTCTGAAGAGCTGGGCTAAATCCTCTCCAAGGAAGCAGCAGCGAACCAGCAGGGACCATTTCATGTGTTTGCAGTTGGACCATACTGATCTAGGACCAGGTCTGTGCATTGCCACTCAGATGTTTCTACAAAGAGACACAAATTCTGGGGTCACTTACCGAAGGCTTCTGAGAGCCCATACACCTTCTGGCTGTAGACGTCTGTCTTATCCCAGATGAAATAATAGGACAGGTCTGGAGCTGCTGCAAACCACTTCCTGAAGAGGCGACCCTCAACAGCCACCATGAGGTGGACTTTCATGAGGTTGAAGGGGATGGTGGGGTGGGTCATGCTGATCCTCAGGACTGATTTGTAGCCAGCTGTGCGACTGCTCAGGTAACTCACTTTTATTTTACTGCCGGAAACATTAATCTCCTCCTGTAGAGCCTGTGGAAAAGCAATCCAAGAGGTGTTAAATCAGCAGCGAGCACACAGGAAAAGGCAGTGAAGCTGTAATTTATCAAACACACCTGTATAAAAGCTCTGGCAGACATGTCTAAAAAGACACACCTAGACAGCTTCACGTATGAAATCATATATGTAACTTACATGGTTAGTTGTGGAAGCCAAGGAATGCCTCCCTCTTTCTCTATCTCTGTTACACGGGAGAGAGGAGATCGAAGGATCACATTAAGTCAGTGTTTACAATAGGACTCACTGTTAAAAGGAGTTTCAGGACCTATGGTGAAAAGAGCTTGGGGTCTGAGGTTATTACAGCACATCAGTTTGACTTCTATTTTCTGTCTTTTATCTAGGCAGGTTTCCATGGCAGCTAATTTTTGTCTCCTGGCTTTTTTCCCCCCAGTAAAATACCAAACCCTACTTGGCCTGTATCCTTAAGGATGTTCCCAAGCCCTGATCATAACCTGTAATTCTCTCCATGACTTCAGTGAATCCTGCTTCCACCCTCAATCCTCTGACTTACCCATCTCTCTTTCTTTGAAACCACTCCTCTCCTACCTCACCACAGGCCCTCTCCACATGATCTACCTCTAGCCTTTTATTTCTGTGTCCTGGTCCTTATTTTTTGAGCTCTCATTTGTTCTTACTTACCCCAGTCTTTGCCTAAAATTCCTTTCCCTCTTACCTTTGTGATAAAGCTGTTGGCCTGACCTACCACCATCAACGTCTTTCCCTTGCCTTGCATTCTTCTTCTCTTCCTTTTCCAAATTCCTCTGTATTCTAGCTGAGTTTCTCCATTTCCTCCTCCAGCCGTGTGTGTGGGTATTTCTGATTGACTGGGATGGTTATCTCAAAGGTCTCCATTCCAGCACAAAATTTCAAAAAAGACTAGTGAAAAATCAGGGAAAGCTTTTTTCTGCCCCTGTTCTGCTTTGAGAACAGAAAAGTCTCAGTGAAGGTGGAATTTTCAGCTAATTCACCTGGATCTTAAAATTGATTTAAATTTTTTTCTTTTTTTTTTTTTTAAACCTGGAGACATGCTCAGAAATTTTCTGGAAATTGATGCAAAATGTTTCCCTGACACCTGCTGATTCTCCCATGCAAAATGCTGGAAAAAAATGACATTTCTTGTATAAATCTTAAGAGAAAAAAATTGTCTATTTCCACAAAATGTCATTCTTAAGTAAGCACTTGTGCTGAATTTGGCTGGGGTAGAGTTAATTCTCTTCACAGTGGCTAGAACAGGGCTATGTTTTTGATTTGTGTTCACCACAGGGTGAGCAGAGCGTGCAGAGAGCCAAGGCATTTTCCACTTTTTGCACTGCCATGCTGGTGAGGGGACTGGGGTGCTTGAGAAATTAGGAGGAGACACAGCTGAGACAGGTGACACAAACTGACCGACGGGATGTTGCATACCATATGACATCATGCTCAGTATATAAAGCTGCGGGGCAGGGAAGAAGGAAGTGGGGGGGCATTTGGAGTGATGGTGCTTGTCTTCCCAAGTCACTGTTACACGTAATGGGCCCTGCTGTCCTGGAGATGGCTGAACAGCTGTCTGGCCATGAAAAGTGGTGAGACAGGTGACACAAACTGACCGACGGGATGTTGCATACCATATGACATCATGCTCAGTATATAAAGCTGCGGGGCAGGGAAGAAGGAAGTGGGGGGGCATTTGGAGTGATGGTGCTTGTCTTCCCAAGTCACTGTTACACGTAATGGGCCCTGCTGTCCTGGAGATGGCTGAACAGCTGTCTGGCCATGAAAAGTGGTGAATGAATTCTTTGCTTTG